AGTATTCATTACTTAATCGCTGTGATCAAGGAAAGGAGGTAACGTGGCTCAATCTAGGTCAGTCTAATAAGGGAGGAATTCTCCAGTGGAACTAGAGAGAAGATGAAAACGTATGCTGTGCAGAAAAAAAAAAAAAAACAAATAGTTTGAATAGCTTGAATGGTAATTGAAATTATGAGAGTGAATTTTGATATCTAGGGAGAATTTGTAGATTGAAAAGAGCAGGAGGCAGAGAAAATAGTCATTTTCAAGGGCAAGGTGGAAGAAGAGGAGTACTTTAAGAAGAAATAGACTATTATGAGAATCAGGGGAGTTCGCTGTTATGGAAGACAAGAAAGAAAAATGTTTCCAGGAGGAATAGGAGTTAACCACAATGTCAGTGCTGTAGAGTAAGGTAAGGACTTAGCAATTTTAGTGAGAGCAGTCACTCTCTGAGAATGTTCATCACATGGGCATGAAGCCAGACTGCAGTTGGTTGAGGAGTGAACATGAATGTAGACAAGCTTTTCTGAGAAGTTTGGATGAGAGCAGGTTAGCATCTGGATGACAGCTGGAAGGGAACACATTCCCACTCTTGGATCTGAAGCTATAGCACCAGCCCCACTATCCTGGATTGTATATCTCTTTGGATTCTGGATGCCTGCCTGGACTACATTAGCTGAGTTCTTGATCTCAGTTTTCAATCCCTCTTCCACCCCTGCCCGCTCCAATCATTCAACATATTACCCCAGCCCATGGCTACCATTATTGCCTGTGAGCTTCCCATTCTTTCATTGGCTTGATTGCCCCTTCCTTCTCAACATGCCATATAGTTGGAACTATCAAACTGCATCCTATTGGCAGCTAGTACTGATAGCAGAATACTAGCCATTTTTTAATCCTATTTAGTGTAGTAGTTGACAGTTCAATAGCTTATTGAATGTGTGAACACTCATCATCCATGCCCTAGCCACTTATTCTTCCTTTCTGTCTCACAAAAGGTTTCTCTCCTTTCTCTAAAACTAAATCTACCACCTATATTCTGAATTCCAGCCCTTACTTTATTTACGGTGTTGCTGTTTTAATAAACTGTTTTCCTTAGAGCATATCACTTTTTCTCATGAGCTCCTTCCTTTTATGCTATTAAATATGCACATATCCACTGACTTAAAAAGAGTTGTGGGCCAGGCATGGTGGCTCACGCCTGCAATCCCAGCTACCTGGGAGGCTGAGGCAGGAGAATTGCTTAAATCCAGGAGGCAGAGGTTGCAGTGAGATCGCACCACTGCACTCTAGCTTGGGCAACAGAGCAAGACTCTGTCTCAAAAAAAAAAAAAAAAAAAGAGTTGTGGATTTGTTTTTTTTTTTTTTAACTTGCATTAGGTTATCATCCTTTTAGCTACTGTACTGTCATGTAGTGGAAAGAGCAGTGAACCAGAAATGAAAACAACTAACTGGTTCCTTCCAACAACATTGGGTAAATGACTTTCCCTCTCTGAACCTGTTTTTCATTGGTAAAATGAGTAAATTGAAATGATTATCTCTAACATTCTTTTAATCTCTAATGTTCTGTGGCTGATCTGAATCTACAAATAAGGAACAAATATTAGGAGCCTCCATCTCCTACCTATCAATACTTTTGGGGTGCTTAGGTAGCACATACACTAAAATTGGAACAATGGGGAGAACATTAGCATGGCCCCTGCAGAAGGATGGCACACACATTCATGAACACTTCCATATTTTTAAATAAATAAATAAATAAAATATTTGGTTGCGTGGTGGCTCATGCCTATAATTCCAGCACTTTGGGAGGCCGAAGTGGGTGGAATGCTTGAGCTTAGGAGTTCAAGACTGGCATAGGCAACATGGCAAAACCCCGTATCTACAAAAAATAAAAAAATTAGCCATGGCGGTGCACACCTGTAGTCCCAGCTACTCAGGAGGCCAAGGTGGGAGAATGACTTGAGCTTGGAAGGCAGAGGTTGCAGTGAGCTGAGATGGCACCACACGACACTCCAGCCTGGGTGACAGAGTGAGACCCTGTCTCAAAGAAAAAACAAAAATTAAAAAAATATATAAAAACTAAAATACATTTGAAGACTTGCTTCCTGAGAAATATAAAAATGGCCTTTGTATCCTGTTATCTATTGCCACTACAATACTGCATTTTGAAACACTCAAAATTCAGTAGCTTAACACAATAAGCATTTATTTAGTTCTTGAGTTTGTGGGTCAGCAACTTAGGCTGAGTCCAGCTGAGCAGTTCTTCTGGTCAAGGTGAGCTCGCTCGTATAACTGGTGGTCATTTGGTTGTATGCTGATCTCGATGACTGGGCTCTGTTCCATATGTCCAACAGTCTAACTTAGGCATGTTCTCAAAGAGACAGCAGAGAAACCAGAGACAAATGCAAACACACAAAGCCTCAAGTTTCAGGGTCCAAACTGACACACCATTACATCTGTCACTTTTTTTTTGAGACGAAGTCTCACTCTGTCACCAGGCTGGAGTGCAGTGGCACGATCTTAGCTCACTGCAACCTCCGCCTCCCAGGTTCAGGCAAATTCTCCTGCCTCAGCCTCTTGAGTAGCTGGGATTACATGTGCCACCACACCCAGCTAATTTTTGTATTTTTAGTGGAGATGAGGTTTCACCATGTTGGTCAGGATGGTCTCAAACTCCTGACCTCATGATCCACCTGCCTTGGCCTCCCAAAGTGCTGGGATTACAGGCGTGAGCCACCGTGCCCGGCCTACATCTGTCACATTTTATTGAGCAAAGCAAGCCATCAAGATGTAAGGAGTGGAGGAATGGAGAGGAACTGCAGGCACAGGCAAAGGGCATGGATTCAGGCAAGAGCAAAATATTGGGACCACTAGTGCAATCAGTTTTCTTAATTCTCATTTTTTATCGCGCCTCGGCATGTAGCTTGTAATATCTATTACTACCCACTTTCCTTTCCTAACTAACTCAACACATTTCCTGAACACCTACTTTGTGCAAGGCACAAAACTTTCTTTGAAAGGGTAATAGCAGAGCAGAAAGCACCAAGGCTTTGGAGTTCAGGCAGACCTATATTCACGTTCCACCTCTGCCACTTACTGTGAGCAAAGTATTGAATCCAAACTTCTTCCTCTTCTGAAAAAAAATGGAGGGAATGATCTCACAGAGTTAGTATTAGATGAAGAGAGCAATGCGAAAATCTGTGTTAGCTTCATAATTTTCTCCTCCTCATCTTCCTGGCTACTTTTCATAAGTCTATCATCCAGCAACTGTGGTCATCATCAAGACTGTGCCTGGGACACATTGTTCTCTCGACATGCATCACATCTGTAAGCTCAAATTTACACTTCTAGCTATGACTTCTATAATACTACCCTCCATGTGCCTATCTTCAGTGGTCTGTAGAATATCACCACTGTGACAGCCAAAGTCAGTTCCCCCACAACTGTTAGCACACCATTCTTCCCGACGTCAGACATAAAGGTTAGAAATCGATTCGCACTCTTTTCTTCCCTCCACCCTCCTCCAAATCCAGTTCTCACCATGTCCCCATTTATTCCTTTGAGGTCACTTTCATCAAGATACTTCCCTTGAAGGCACCCTATTTCCCACCACAGTAAGACCTAACGTCACAATTCCCTGGTTTTCAATACCTACTCTCAATAATTTGGTCTTATCTTAGCCAACTAACTTCTTCCATTTCCCAATTCAGTTGAATTCACTTGAACTTCTGCGTTCTCATTAGAAAATGAGAGATTGTATTAACATGAAGAACAACCAATTGCATTCTTGAGACTGCCTTTGTAACCCAGGAAATACTTCTCTGAGCCTATTTCTTTAGCTATTAAGATAAGCTAATTAGCTTTATCTACTTTGCAGAGTGACATAAAATAAAGGCACTAGGAGAATGAAGTGTAACAATGCATTGTGACTATGTAAAGAACAAGGTGCCACACTCTCACATGTGCACATGAACAGCTATACAGACAGACCTGCTTGCTTCCTCTTACCTTTGCTTAAAAGTATTCTCTACCATCAGGAATGCCCTTCCTCTTCTCCTCTTGGATGATACAAATTCTCTCAATACTTCACAAACTTCTTGTTTTTACTGATTCACCCTGCTATTTTATTTGGTACCAAAAAATAAAAGCCATGATATTTTTCAACTGTTATGTGTGTAGGGCAATGTGGAATTTTGTTTCTCCAAGTAGTTTATAAGGCAAAAGCAGGAACAGGTATAGTCCCCAGCAGAAATCTGAAAACCCAGTTTTTTCTCACCAAGCTCCTAAATTGCCCGATTGACCTGGCTTAGCTTCACTCAAGTGGGTAGGTATGGCTTTAATTTAGCAAAGAACCAATATAGAAAAAAAAAAACAAAGGAGTTTTGCAGTCATAAAACCTGAGTTTGAATTCTGGTTGCACCATTCACTATGTGACTCTGGGCAATTTAATCTCTGAGCCCCGGATCTCTCATATTTTTTTTTTTTTTTTTTGACACAGGGTCTCAGCCTGCCACCCAGTCTGGAGAAGCACCATCGAACCTCACAGCATCCTCAAACTCCTGAGCTTGTGCATTCTTCCCGCCTCAGTTTCCCGAGTGGCTGGGACTACAGGTGCACACCACCAAACCTGGCTTTTTTTCTTTTTTCTTTTAAGAAACAGTCTCCCTATGTTGCCCAGGCTGGTCTTGAACTCCTGAGCTCAAGAGATCCTCCCTTTTCAGGCTTCCAAAGCACTGAGATTACAGGTGTGAGCCTCGAAATGCAGCCATATCCAACTTTAAGGATAATGCCTCTGATCTCAAAGGCTGCTGTGATCAGAGGAGATACTGTTTGTAAAGCAACTAATAAAGTGCCAGGCATGATATACAGCATTTGCTCAGTAAGAGTGACTTCCCTTTCTTACTTGCTCCCTGCACAATCTACACAGCATTCAATATTGTCAGATGACAATATATCTGAAATCAGTATGTAGCAAGTATCTCTGTGCCTTCAGTACAAGAACAGGCATGCACAAATTCTTTTTCCAGTGTTTTTATTTGCACATTTAATAGTCACAAATCTTTTTACAGATTTCTTTTCACAGGTTTATTATTTATAGAAAAAATCAAAATTAAAATGGAGTATCGAAACGGACCAAGAAATTACCAGCAGTGATGGCAAAGTACAAAGGCTTCGAAAGAACAGAGTAAACAAGAGCAGTGGTGTGGCCACTTTCCATCAGGCAGAACACTTGACTTCATTAAGGCAAAGCCTTTACTCTGTTACTTCTTCCTCCCACCTAGTTTAACCCAAATAGAAAGACATTCTATTCTCAAACTACCACTCTCTAAGGTCGTAGGAATATAACTGGCATGATAAGCAACCAGATGCATCCCTTGACTATTAATACCTAAATAGACAAGTTAAAATTGTGATGCATGAACCATCCCTCTGGGAGAATTAAAAACAAAGAAGCAGAAGTTGTTTGATTCTTAAGATTGAGAAAAAGGGTTTTATGTGCGTGGTGGTGGTGGAAGGGGGGAAAAAAGAGGTTCAAGGAGGGATAAGGGCAAGAAACCTAACTCTTTCCAATGTCTAACTGTTCTTATGTTCTCAAATGCTGCTGATACAGTGTTCCATTACTCCGAAAACAAATGGTATCTATATCCGGTTAGTTCTAGGGTGCAAAGACTAACAATATGGAAAATACCTTGGGGAAGGGATGTATTCATTTTAGGTACATAACAATGGAATTCAAAATTGTGTCCATGTTCTCATCTAATGCGTTATTACTGTTGTAAATCAAATTACCGTGTGACCCTGGACAATTTACTTAACCTCTCAGTGCCACAGTTTTCCACATAAAACGAGAATTGTAGCATTGGAATTAGAGGAGATGCATGAGAAGCATGGAAGAATAGTGTCTGGCCAAATCAATAGAGACAGAAAGCAGACTGGTGGTTGCCAGGGGCTGGGATGAAGGGGAATGGAACTGACTGCCAACGGACCTGGGGTTTCTTGGGGAAGTGACAAAATGATCTAAAATTGGATGGTAGTGATAGCTGCCCAACTTTGTATGTGAATATACTAAAAACCACTGAAGTGTACATCTTAAAAGGTGAATTTCAGCCAGGCATGGTGGCTCACACCTGTATTACCCGTGTTTTGGGAGGCCAAAGCAGGCGGATTGCTTGAGCCCAGGAATTCAAGACCAGTCTGGGCAACATGGCGAAACCCTGTCTCTACAAAAACTACAAAAATTAGCCAATTAGGTGTCGTGACGCATGCCTGTAGTCCTAACTACTCAGGATTCTGAGGTGGGAGGATCGCTTTGCTTAAGCCCAGGGAGGTTGAGGCTACAGTGTGCCATGATTGCACCACTGGCACTCCACCTTGGGTGACAGAGTGAGTCCTTGTCTCAAAGAAAAAATTAAATTAAAAATAAAAAAATAAAAGGTGAATTTCATGGTAAAGCGTATTTCAATAAAGTTGTTACTTCAAATATTTTTTTAAAAAATAGAATAGTGCCTGACACACAGTAAGTGCCAAATAAAGGTTAGCTATTAATATTAGTAATATCATTGTCATTATTTGGCCATTCTATGGTCTGAGTAAATCCCAAGAAATTCTCTATTTTTAATAAAAGCCTACAGAATCTAAAAAAGTGTTTCTAATTTATATAAATGAATTAACATTTATACATTTATTTCCATCAAATTTCTCAGAAACTAACAGTCTAAGGATCACAATTTCAGTGTTGTGCACTGAGCTAAAACAGCTGCATGCAATGGCTGTCTTATCAAATCACGATAAGCTTTAGATAAATTCTAATGACCTGATGTTACCCAAGAACTTGAATGGAGAGATTTTCATTTTTGCCTCCAGGAATAAACAGGAAGTCCAAATACAGTTAGTAGTTATATTATATAAAGTATACAATTAAGTGTCCAAATACAGGCTTGCTAGCCTTCTAGTGACATTTTGGGAGATACCGTTTATAAAAAGACAAATATAGTAAACAATAAAATGCTTACCAGTCTCATGTCCTGTGACCCCACCTTGCCCAACAACAGGAAAACCCCACCACAATGAAAAGATCAAAATCAACTAATGTAATAAACTTCTTCAGAGGCAAAAGACTTAATGATTAATGGTTGACTTTTAAGACTATACTGCACATTCAACTATGTTGGCATCAATTGAGTTTTTGTACTCTAAACAGCATTAAATCCAGTCTTTACCCTTTCTATTGCTAAAGAATATGACAACAGAGACTTGGTCTCAGACGTAGGAGCAGCAAGTGATTACTCATGATGGCAGTGATGCGCCACATTCTGCAGTGATGCTCGCATGCCTGAATTTCATCTGAAGCATGAAGTCCCCAATTCCTGCAACCGGGTTTCCTTTGTTGGAGTCCCCTGTCCTTGCTGTCTTTACTTCTATAATCAGCTATGTGCCTTTGCAGCAAATCAGGAAAAGCTACGTTGATGGTTACAACTTCCAGACATTCAGGTTTTAACTTCCATCACAGAAAGCCGTGCACTTTTTTGCCTACGCTAAGAAAATATTTATTCATCCCTTCAAGCCACTCATTTTCAGAAAGACAAACATTTTATCAACCTTCATTTAACCCTCTTCCCATTTAGAAAACAAAAACAGAGATAAAAAACTGCCAGTGCTAATTTACATAAACATACTCTTTGAGGCTGAAGCAAATCTAACCGACTTTCAATGTGAAAAAATACAAAAACTGAGTTATTTCTAAATAGAACATCAGAACTGTCTGTTTCAAAAAAAATGGATTCATCAAATGAATCTTCAGCCAACAACTTTTCGAAAATGATGTTAACGTCATGCGTAGGCATGCTACGTTTTCTAGGATTTGACATTTTCAGAGGTCAAGAATGACTATATTTTATAGCTGGAAATACCGCTACTAAAAAAAGAATGCTATAAATAGAACGATGTCTTTTGTTTCCAAAGTCAATATACTAGAACAATATGAAATATTTCATGGCAAAGTTATCTTGGGGTAAATGCTACAGCCACACATGCCGCTGGTGAGTATTTTCGAGGAAAACAGAAAAAGGGTTAAATCAAATCAATAAAATAAAATCATTCCCTAAGTCACCCAAGAGCAAAGATAAAAACACAGAACAAGCTGCCGTTAAGTCCCAATATGTGTAAACCACCCACAGTGTACACCTACACAACCTCCCCAAAGCTGTGGCCTTAGAATTTCTGACCAAACAATTAGCCTAAGTAAAATTCAATAAAGACTTAATTCCCTTTGAGAAGCATGGCTACTTCTTTAATTTTACATTATATTCATTGAGACAGATTATGAAACAACTTCGGCGGAGAGAGAGCTTTAGTGGGAAGTAAGAATTTCAGACATTGGAAAGGGATCATTAGAACCAATTTCAAAATGAGGATCAGTTCCAAAGTATTTTCTTTACTAATTCAAAGTTGAAACATTGTCTCTGTGTACACAAAGGTTTATTTTACAATTTAAAAGGTAAATTGTAATAAATAGAAATATGTAACAAAAAATTCTGGACAAGGTGGGAATCAAGGGGACCCACTTTGTAATGTTTTGTAATTACCATTCCAAGAACCCATTTGGCCCAGTATTCACTTGGCTTATGTGGGGATGGAGAAAATATGAGTTTGGAATCATATATCTACGTGTAGGTAGTCTTTAAATAAAAAAGGAATAAATATTTAAATTCTATGATAAACAAAAAATGTGGAATAAGAAAGTCCTATGTTTATCAACTAATAGTATATTTACAATGAGTGTTTTCTGCCTGACACCTAATCTTTGTCTGTTAGATGTGCAATTTATAGAAGGCAACAGTTCATACTGCTTTAAAGGAGCCCTGTTTAGCTCAGAACCAACCTGTCCCAGATGCTCTGCTCCCTGAAAAACCTTCACACTTGTGTGCATAAATATCTGAGAGTACACGTAGGTGCACATGTGCAAAATGTACTTGTCTAAAGGGGAGCTAATTAGCTTGACAAAGTCTAAAACCAAGAAAATAAACTGCTATTTCCCAACCCAAAAAACACATCTAATGGAAAAACTGCTAAGCCCACTATGAAAAGGCAGCAGCTGTACACTCATCCCATCTCACGTCATGCTCTAAGCATCTAGCTGTTCTATTAATCAGCCATTGGAACACTAAATCCCTCCCTGTTCACATGGTTAAATGCAAGCTTCTGATTTAGCTTTACTTTCTAGTTAAGAGGCCAGACTACAGAAAATAATAAAGAGCTCCTTTTAACTATGCTGCATCTAAACTGCCTCATTCCACCCTAAGAGAAGGTGCCCACATGATAATATGGACTAGAGATCTACCAATCTAAGCTTCCTTAGGTCTTCTTTTTGGATAAGCTCTAGCACTGGAACATTGTCAATTTCAGTCAAGAAAAATCACATGTTGACTACTAATATTTTAGACTGAATATTCAAAGCTAAAGAGCAAGATTAAAACTAGAGTGCCAACCAAGATGCTGTTAAACATGGCAGAAAGGTGACTATACACAGGGACCAAAGAGGCTGATTCTTTGGAGGCCCTTTGCTCTTTTTTTTTTTTTTTTTTTTTTAAAGCAACAAGTGTAGAATTTCCTCTGATCAAATTCTGAATATTGGTTAATGCATGTTTTCTCATTCTCCATGTATGAACCCCCTCCTAACCTCTCTCATTGCCTTTTTAAGCTTAAGAGAGAGAAATAAAAGAAAATGGATATAGACCATCCATTTTTATTTGTGAAAAGAGAGGCATATTCTAATAGTCATAAGGCAATGTGTTTAAGAGCTGCACCAGAACCAGTATTCTCAAAACTAAAAATATTTACCAACTCTATTCAACTTGTAAGTCATATCCATGTGCTTCCCAAGTCACTGATTGTCACCCAAATGGACCATGGTGACTCCATCATGCCTTAAGGTGGCATTGCATACTGTGTGTAGTATGCACATGTAGTTTTAAAGAAATGACATTAAGAGAGAAAAGAATAGCCTTTCAAACATCAGTTCCTCACAAAAGTGGTGACAGTGCTATACGGCTCCCTTTCAATCTCCTCACCTACCCAGTTACCAAATACCTCCAGAATTAGACAAAAGAGGGTCAGAGACAAAGTTCCATGGTGAATTGCATCTTTCAGATGTGCTTTCAATTCACTGGTTTTTAATTTTCCATTCTTGATTTACTGAGGAGTAAAGGTGAGAATCATCCAACTGATGACAAAGTAAAACAGGAAAACAGGATAAACAGCTAGGGCTCTGCGGTTTGGAGGCTGGCTATCAGCAAGGAAAGCTGTGGAGGCTAAACAAAACAAGACAAAATAAAAAGGAATGTTTAATGCAGTAACATTGTCACAACTACTAACATTTACTAAACATTCAAATGCTTGACATAATCTGGAACACAGAATTACACTAAAAGTTTAGTTATACTGGTGTTCCTCAGAGATAAAGGCATTCTGGAAGGTAGTTTTTCAGAGAGGCGAGGGTTTCTTATTTCAAGAACTAAACCATTTTCGATGGAAACCTTTCTAAAAGGAGTTTTTACTCTTTTCTGGAAAAGTTACTGAACTGTACTGAAAAGGCTTATAAAGATGTGTAAGGTTATTCACTCCTATGGTAAATGGCCTTGGGCTGCTGTGCTTTTGGAGCTAACTGTTCTTCAGAAATTATCAGCTCTTTTAAATGCAAGCCCTCTCTTGTCCATCTAAGAAAAACCTATTCATCATTTTACTCATCAAGAATCACCCTTCTGGCCAGGCGTGGTGGCTCATGCCTCTAATTCCAGACTTTGGGAGGCCAAGGCAGGTAGATCACCCAAGGCCAGGAGTTTGAGACCAGCTTGGCCAACATGATGAAACCCTCTCTACTAAAAATACAAAAATTAGCCGGGTATGGTGGCGGGCACCTATAATCCCAGTTACTCAGGAGGCTGAGGCAGGAGAATCGCTTGAACTCAAGAGGCGGAGGTTGCAGTGAGCCAAGATGATGCCACTGCACTCCAGCCTGGATGGCAGAGCAAGACCCAGTCTCAAAAAACAAAACAAAACAAAAGAATCACTCCTCTCACTGGGTGCCATGGCTTGTGCCTGTAATCTCAGCTACTTGGGAGGCTGAGGTGGGAGAACTGCTTGAGGCCAGGAGTTCAACACTGCAGTATGTTACGGTTCCACCACTCCACTCCAGCCTGAGTGACAGAGTGAAATCCCATCTCTCTTTTTTATTTTAATAGAAATAGGGTTTCACCATGTTGGTCAGGCTGGTCTCAAACTCCTGACCTCAGGTGATCCACCCATCTTGGCCTCCCAAACTGCTGGGATTATAAGCATGAGCCACCACACCCAACCTCTCATCTCTTAAAAAAAAAATAATAGGAGGTGGCTGGCAAGATGGCCAAACTGGAACAGCTCTGCTGTGCAGCTCCCAGAGAGATCAATGCAGAAGGCAGGTGATTTCTGCATTTCCAACTGAAGTACCCAGCTTATCTGACTGGGACTGGTTAAACAGTGGGTATAGCTCACAGAGGACGAACTGAAGCAGGGTGGGGAGTTGCCTCAACCAGGAAGCACAACGGGTCCAATAACTCCCTCCCCTAGCCAAGGGAAGCTATGAGGGACTATACCGTGAGGAATGGTGCATTCTGGCCCAAATACTATGCTTTTTCCATGGTCTTTGCAACCTGCAGAACAGGACTCTCCCTTGGGTACCTATACCACCAGGGCCCTAGGTTTCAAGCACAAAACTGGGTGGCCATTTGGGTAGACACCAACCTAGCTCCAGGAGATTTTTTTCATACCCCAGTGGCACCTGGAATGCCAGTGAGACAGAACTGTTCACTCCTCTGGAAAGGGGGCTGAAGCCAGGGAGCCAAGTAGTCTAGCTCAGAGGATCCCATGCCACTAAGATCCACTGGCTTGAAATTCTCACTGCCAGCATAGCAGTCTGAAGTCGAACTGGGACACCTGAGCTTGGTGCGGGGAGTAGCATCCACCGTTACTGAGGCTTGAGTAGGCAGTATTCCCCTCACTGGGTAAACAAAGCCTGGAAGTTTGAACTAGGCAGAGCCCACCACAGCTCAGCAAAGCTGCTCTAGCCAGACTGCTTCACTAGATTCCTCCTCTCCAGACAGGGCATCTCTGAAAGAAAGGCAGCAGCTCCCATCTCCCTAGGACAGAGCACCTGGAGGAAGGGGCAGATGAGGGCGCAGCTTCAGCAGACTTAAACGTTCCTGCCTGCCAGCTCTGAATAGAGCAGTGGATCTCCCAGCATAGCAATCGAGCTCTGCTAAGGGACAGACTGCCTCAAGTGGGTCTCTGACCCCAGTGCCTCCTGACTGGGAGACACCTCCCAGCAGGGGTTGACAGACACCTCATACAGGAGAGCTCTGGCTGGTATCTGGCAGGTGCCCCTCTGAGATAAAGCTTCCAGAGGAAGAAGCAGGCAGCACTCTTTGCTGTTCTGCAGCCTCTGCTGGTGATACCCAGGCAAACAGGGTCTGGAGTGGACCTCCAGCAAACTCCAGCAGACCTGAAGAAGAGGGGCCTAACTGTTAGAAAGAAAACTAACAAATAGAAAGAAGCATCAACATCAACAGAAAGGATGTCCACACAGAAACACCATCCGAAAGTCACTGACAGCAAAGACCAAATGTAGATAAATCCACGAAGATAAGGAAAAGCCAGTGTAAAAAGGCTGAAAATTCCAAAACCCAGACACCTCTTATCCTCCAAAGGATCACAACTCCTCACCAGCAAGGGAACAAAACTGGATGGAGAATAAGTTTGGTGAAGTGACAGAAGTAGACTTCAGAAGGTGAGTAATAATAAACTCCTCTGAGCTAAAGGAGCATGTTTTAACTCAATGCAAGGAAGCTAAGAACGTTGAAAAAAGGTTAGAGGAATTGCTAACTAGAATAACCAGTTTAGAGAAGAACATAAATGACCTGATGGAGCTGAAAACACAGCACGAGAACTTTGTGAAGCATACACAAGTATCAAGCTAAATTGATCAAGTGGAAGAAAGGGTATCAGAGATTGAAGACCAACTTAATGAAATAAAGCAGGAAGACAAGATTAGAGAAAAAAAAGAACGAAAAGGAACGAACAAAGCCTCCAAGAAATATGGGACTATGTGAAAAGACCAAACCTACCATTGATTGGTGTACCTGAAAATGACAGGGAGAAATGGAACCAAGCTGGAAAACACTCTTCAGGATATTATACAGGAGAACGTCCCAAACCTAGAGAGACAGACCAACATTCATATTCAGGAAATACAAAGAACACCACAATGATACTCCTCAAGAAGAGCAACCCCAAGACAACTTCACCAAGTGAAACCCAAGTCAGATTCACCAAGGCTGAAATGAAGGAAAAAATATTAAGGGCAGCCAGAGAGAAAGGTTGGATTATCCACAAAAGGAAGCCCATCAGACTAACAGTGGATCTCTCAGCAGAATCTCTACAAGCCAGAATTCAACATTCCTTAAAAAAAGAATTTTCAACCCAGAACTTCATATCCAGCCAAACTAAGCTTCACAAGCAAAGGAGAAATAAAATCCTTTACAGACAAGTAAATGCTGAGAGATTTTGTCACCACCAGGCCTACCTTACAAGAGCTACTGAAGGAAGTATTAAATATGGAAAGGAAAAACTGGTACCAGCCACTGCAAAAACACAAATTGTAAAGACCATCAATACCATGAAGAAAGTGCATCAACTAATGGGCAAAATAACCAGCATCATAATGACAGGATTGAATTCACACATAGTAGTATTAACCTTAAATATAAACAGGCTAAATGCCCCAATTAAAAGACACAGAATAGCAAATTGCATAAAGAGTCAAGACCCATCAGTGTGCTGTATTCAGGAGACTCATCTCACATGCAACCCATCAGTGTGCTGTATTCAGAAGACCCATCTCACATGCAAAGACACACATAGGCTCAAAATAAAGGGATGGAGGAAGATTTACCAAGCAAATGGAGAGCAAAAAAAAAAAAAGCAGGAGTTGCAATCCTAGTCTCTGATAAAAGGGACTTTAAACCAACAAAGATCAAAAGAGACAGAGAAGGGCATTACGTAATGGTAAAAGGATCAATGCAACAAGAAGACCTAACGATCCTAAATATATATGCATCCATTGCAGGTGCACCCAGATACATAAAGCAAATTCTTAACCTACAGAGAGACTAAGACTCCCACACAATAACATTGGGAGACTTTAACACTCCACTGTCAATATTAAACAGATCAATGAGACAGAAAATTAACAAGGATATCCAGAACTTGAACTCAGATCTGGACCAAGCAAACCTAATAGACATTTACAGAACTCTCCACCCCAAATCCACAGAATATACATTCTTCTCAGCACTATATCACACCTACTCTAAATTGACCACATAATTGGTAGTAAATCACTCCTCAGCAAACGCAAAAGAACAGAAATCATAACAAAGTCTCTCAGACCACAGTGCAATCAAATTAAAACTCAGGATTAAGAAACTCACTCAAAACTGCACAACTACATGGAAACTGAACAATCTGCTCCTGAATGACTATTGGGTAAATAACGAAATGAAGGCAGAAATAAATAAGTTCTTTGAAACCAATGAAAACAAAGACACAACATACCAGAATCTCTGGGACACAGCTAAAGCAGTGTTTAGAGGGAAATTTATAGCACTAAATGCCCACAGGAGAAAGCAGGAAAGAGCTAAACTCAACACCCTAACATCACAATTAAAAGACCTAAAGAAGCAAGTGCAAACAAATTCAAAAGCTAGCAGAAGACAAGAAATAACTAAGATCAGAGGAGAACTGAAGGAGATAGAGACATGAAAAGCCCTTCAAAAAAATCAACGAATCCAGGAGCTGGTTTTTTGAAAAGACCAACAAAATAGATAGACCACTAGCCAAACTATCAGACATCAGAGAATACTATAAACACCTCTAGGGGCTTTACCCATGGGTAAAGTACCCAAGCTTAATATACAATCTTTGGCATATTAATTCTGGCTCTCACAAATCTTTATTGGATTACTTTTTAGCTTTCAACCATGTTCCAGAGCAATAAGATGTTACTACTTAAAAATATTAAGCAGTCAGTCTATCCATTAAAGCAGAAAGTGAACACTTCTAAATTTAAGCTGGAATTTTAAGAGAACGTCAGGAATGTAAAAACAATGAGCATACAGCATTCATTATCATTGCTATAGGCCCTTCCTAGTCTTTAGAAAAATATTCTACTGAAGCAGAAAAGTGCTATATAATGATACTTACAATCTACACTAGAAAG